CGTTTCTAGCCAGTATTTAATTCTGTGGGATCTTTACAGCATAGATTCACAAAATGCATTGAGACTATGTAAATATTATGCTTTACTGCGTTTGGTAGATGATTGAGAAACTCTAGATCATCTCTGAGGAACTCTGAACGTGTTTGATGAGAGGTTTCCATAGGATGTCTTGCTTTTAGGTCGGTTGCTGCGGGTAATCAGCTTTTGTTATATTGTATGTTTCGTTGATGGGGTTATTTTTGTGTACTTTAGATAGTCCATAAAACTGCTTGTTTTACATCTAAAATTGGTAAGATAGTCACATTCCTTCGAAGTTGGACAGCTTTGGTATAGATGTATTGGTGAGTTTTTCATCACTTTATGACGTTGGTATTGTCTGGTTTCTTCATAGTAGCTATGCTTCTGTAGCATATGTTGTATAATGCTTGTATATTGTTTCGTATCCATAATAAAAACCGGGCCTCATTTATCAGTTTCTATGCTATTTTGGTCCAATTTTAGATCATTTACTTGGATTCATTGTTGGCTGGTGAAGCTGGACTTTCTTTGCGGTATTTCAAGTATGTAAAATGGGAAGTTGGAGATCTAATTACAGAATTCATCAAAGGCTGCCTTTTTGCATATTTGGGGATTTGCAATTGTTCTGCTAGCCTTGGTCTTTTTAAGAATTCTGAATCATCATTCGTTTCTGTTACATTTTTGGTATTTGGGGAGTTGGTTTGAATTTTAATCCTTTACATAGGATATGCATTTGTGCGGGTGTTAATGATTTTTCTAAAAGGTTGATTACTTTTAGTTTCTTGTGATTTGGGACCATCCCGTGTCCATTTACTTCCAACTTCTTAATAAAAAAAACGCTTAATATACCTATATTGTTTCTAATGTAGGTATTTTTTTATATTGTTGTATTGTGATTATTATGTCTTTCTGTATTGTATATGTTGTTCTGTCACTGGTACTTGTTTCTTATGTGTTGGCTTTGGTTTAGTCTCGGGTTATTTTTTGTAATTCCGAGTCTTTTTTTCTATGAAGTTGTAATTTATATTTCTTCTTCTATTGTTATATGTTTTATTTGTGTTTATTTTATTTTTTTTCTGGGGTGGTACTGGTTTTTTCTGGGGTGGTACTGGTTTTGTCCGGAATTGTTTATGTACATTCGACACTTGGCTGTTTTATCTTATAGGGACATTATTTTTATAAATATGCGAAAATAAAATAATAATAATAATAATAATAATAATAATAATAATGAACATTATAAAATAATAATAATAATAATAATAATAATAATGAACATTATAAATAAAATAAAACAATGTTGTATAAAATAAATTTAAAAAAAAGAAAAACTAATCAAAATATTCCCAGCATGCAACAAAAACTGTCCCTGTCGGAAATACGGATATCCCGCCAAAAGAGGTTAAATTCAATTTCTTCACCACGAACCTTGATACGGGCAACACGTGTCCGACTTCTCTCTGTGATATGGCGTGTAATAATACGAAGTAACTTTTTCCTCTCATTACATCTACCATGGAACAATTGTAACCTAAAGAAAATACACACAGAAAAATATAAATAAATTGTATGATTTAACATACAATTTACCATGATTTCCTGTTATTTTTTACGATTTATTTTCTGTCAAGTATGTTTTTATCTCCCTGAACACGAGGCTAATTTCTGTTGCTATGATGTGAGTGACCCTCAAAAACTCATCTTGTTGCTTCTTTATATGTTGAAATGATGGTGGTAGTTTTGTAGAACTTCTGATTCGCCTTTTGTCAAGTGTTTGGGCTGCATTTTTGTCTATAGCGCAATTTACATTGATGACAGGGTGTTTTTGTCCGTGTCGTTGTTGTTTACTATCTTAGAAAATGGATTTTCTGCGACGTATCCTATTTTAAATTGTTCCTCGTAGTTTCAAAGCCAGTTTTCGTTTATATAACAATCGATCGAGCACTGTAGGGCGTAAAAAGCGAATTTGTAAACAGTCACTATTATTACTGATAATGCAAGACTCTCCAAGCCTATTGAGTGACTGGTGTGTCTATGAAAAATATATACACGTTTTATTACAAGAGACCGACAAGATACTGCGGTTAAGTTTTTTTTATTATTTAATTTTCCTTGTATTCTCATAATTCTCTTGTTTTCTTGAACGCGAATTATGTAGAAATTGTCCGAATGTTCTGTATGTCCGGGCGCTTTCGGCTATTCTTTTAGACATTATAAAGAATGATTTTCTTTTTTATTTTAACTCAATGTAATGTTCGTTTCACGTATATGTCTAGAGTTATAGGAATCTTTTATCTTTCAAACACGGTCAGCGACTTCCTATAACTATAAATAAAACATTCCTATAACTTTAGATACATACATAAAACAATCCATATATTCAAAAATTACTCATCTCTTTATTATTAAAATGACAAGGAGAACTTCATGATAGTGAAATTTACTACGATATCTTATCAATATAAATATGGCTCTGTGCGGGAACCTCGGCGTGGTGTAATGGTTAGCAAGCTTGTCTCGCTAGAACATATTACGATTGCGTTCGATCCTCACTGTGCCACTTCTAAGCAGTGCTTAGAAAATCACTAAATATGGCTCTGCGCTATACCCAGTGTGGAATTAATTCCCTATAAGCTTAATGACTTCATGAGTTAACCTTTATCTTTCCACCATATCCTCATAAAATTCATACTTTGCCACCTCCCCTTCTGCTCATACAACAATCTCATTCAGTAACTATTGTAAACTAGGGAAGAATAATCACCCGAAGGTTGGTAATGAACGATAATACTTAGGACAAGAACAACACATATAAGATTCGCCAGTGGCGCGTAGAAAAAGTAGTCAACTGCTAAAAGTGAGTCAAATAAATTCGACACTGAATGTTCAACTTCAGGATATCAATCAATAATACAGACATGGCTATTGTAATAAAAAAAAATAAAATAAAAATTAATCTAAAGATATTATTTTATCAGTGTAGAATAAATAAGAAAGAGTAAAAGTGTTAACCTCTGAACAGCGGTAAATATTTGTTTTTCCATTTCTCAACATGCCAATAAATCAGAAGATCCTAATTGTTGGAGAGACAAATTCACTAATAATTACGTAAAGACAGTTCGAAAATTATCGATTTCCGAGTATTTTAACGCACTAAAAATAGATCTAGTTAATTTGCTTTAAAAAAACTTTCAAAGTAGTCGAATTCTCAGATTAAGACATACAGACAACACAGATTGAAATAAAGAGGTAAAATAAACTGCGATAGATGGATATGAATAGAGCGAGATAAGGAGATACCAGATACATAGATATGAATAGAATGAGATAAGGAGATATCAGCTGACTACGATATATATATATATATATATATACACACATTATATATATATATATATATATATATATATATATATATGTGCGTATGTTGTTGGGTATTTTTTAATTTTTGCTCTCTTTCTCTCTCTCTCTCTCTGTATATATATATATATATATATATATATATATATATATATATATATACCCTGAAGATCCGTTTAGGTGAAACCTAGGTAGGTTGTTCCTGGCTCTTTAGGATTTACTTCATTTATATATATATATATATATATATATATATATATATAACAATCCGTTTTATCCATGGAGACATCAATCTAGCATTATAATGATAAGATGGAGACTTTAATTATCCATTTCGTTTATTTATTTTATTATAAAAGAAATGGATAATTGAAAATCTCCGTCTTCTTATTATCATTTTGTATTATCTATCTATCTATCTATCTATATATATATATATATATATATATATATATATATATATATATATATATATATATATATATATATATATATATATATATATATATATATATATATATATGCAGAGATAGATAGATAGATAGATAGATAGATAGATAGATAGATATGATTCAACTGAGAGAAATAGTAAGGATGAACATAAGTAGATTAATCCTGGTAGACAGCCTGCTACAGGAATACATTTGACCAGAGTGAGATCGAGAGATTTGAACATGTATGTGAGTCTGTATGAATATTGACTCTGTTACCAATGGCCAGCAAATATGAATTATCGCATTCCCAACACGGTATGACATTGTACACTCTTCTGGTGACATTTAACTTTCCTCGACCTCTGGTGTTACGTGTGCAGTAGGAATGGATCAAGCAACTCTTACCACTCACCGTGCACAGCGTTGTGGATGACCATGGCTCCTTCCCCTGAACAAAGACGATACAGGATTTACGAGAAGTTTGTATAATAAGCTTAATCTAACAATCCATACAGCAGGAGTGGTTCAACAGGGTGTCTTTATTGATGTCACGACACCAGACACTGCAGAATAGAAGACCAAAATTAAAATTGCATTGAGTAGCATTGAGATCCTGCAGATAGGGACGTAGCCACAATGTTCGCCCGACATGAGGCAAATCGGACTTTTATCAAGCGCGGTGGAAAGGTCTATTCGGACGCAAGATCCCTCAGCTGTTTATTAGCAGAACTTTCTGCCGTGGTAAATTGGTAATTATTGGCAAATTGGTAGCCATCGAATATGGCCATGTTTCAGGCAAATCTAAATTTGTTAATTATAAAATAAAGCATTTTCTTCTATGGAAAGAATAATGTTTTCATTCTGCTGTTGTCCTCCTGAAATATCGTCACTTCCATTTTTTAATTAATTTGACCAGTGTTAATTTAAAGGAGAAATTTAATTAATTTTTTGTCAAGAAATCCGAGTAAATGATCAAATAATTTAGAAATATTCACTTTTTAAATTATGTGCGATTTTTGCTCATCTGGAAAAAGAAAGGCGTTTCTGGTTGGTGTCATTTTCGGACAGATTATTCAAAGAATTCTGCATAAAGAATCAAATCTTATGGAAGGGACTGACATTTATAATGTTCTAAAAATAAGAATGATGAATAAAATCCAGAACAAAAATAATTACTGCTTTATCAAGCTTTGTCGTTTCTCTCTCTCTCTCTCCCTCTCTCTCTCTCTCTCTCGCTCTTTTCTACCTCTTCCCCCCCTCTCTCTCTCTTCTACTTCTCCCTTTGTCTTTTTTTTCTTTTCCTCGCTAAAAAGGATAAAAAAGATAACGGGAAGAACAAAATTAATTTCTGGTTCATCAAGCTTGATCTATCTATCTATCTATCTATCTATCTATCTATCTATCTATCTATCTATCTATCTATCACACTCTATTCATTATCTATCTATCTATCTATCTATTTCACTCTTTCTCTTTCTCTCTTTTCTTTCTCTCTCTCTCTCTCTCTCTATAAAGTGATAAAAAGGTAAAATAAAAGATAAAATTAATTTCTGGTTCAAGCTTAATCTATCTATCTATCTATTTCACTATTTTTTCCTCTCTTTCTCTCTCTTTCTATATATCTATCTATTTCACTCTCTCTTTTTCTTCTTTCTCTCTTTCTCTCTCAATCTTTCTCTCTCCCCTCCTTTCTCTTTAAAAATAATAAGGTAATGGAAAGGAGAAAATTAATTTATAGTTCAAGCTTGATCTATCTATCTATCTATATAATCTATCTATCTATCTATCTATCTATCTGTTTCACTCTCTCTCTCTCTTTCTCTTTCTTTCTATCTATCTATCTATCTATCTATCAGTCTGACTATCTATCTCGCTCTTTATCTATCTATCTCACTCTTTTTCTATCTATCTATCTATCTATCTATCTATCTATATAAAAACAGTAAAGAAAGAAAAAATAAAAGTAACCGAAAGAATTAGATTAATTGCTGTTTTTTATCGTTATCTTTCTGTCATAGTGATTGGTTTTGTTATCGATATAAACAGATCTATCTATCTATCTATCTATCTATCTATCTATCTAAATCTTATTTGACGTACAGTATAAAAGCTCTAAACGCTTGAATAACTCTTCATATATATATATATATATATATATATGAAGGACAGATGGGGTTTTATAGCCTTGGATGATATATATATATATATATATATATATATATATATATATATATATATATATATATATATATATATATATATATATATATTACTATCCGCTATCAATTACTCCACTGTGCCTAGGAGAGGAGCAATGGGTAGCTGCTCGGATTGAGAAATTGGAGAGCTGAGTTCGAATTCCATTTGAATCCATTACATTAACTTACGTACTAATACCCTTGGGAAAGGTATAGTTCCTCTTCTTCTCCCTCCAGCACCGGGTAAATAGCAGGACAGATGGGGTTCTATAGCCTTGGATGATATCTGGTCTACTGCTGAAAGAAATGGCAACCTACTGCGGGAAAAAATCTGCCTCGTCAGTCGTATCGAAAAACACACGATCGCTTAAGCTTGTATCACCCATGGCACATAACTGACTGATCTACTACTATTAAAACTGAAATAGATGGCTTTTGTTATGGACAATAAGGTTGAGAATTTTATCATTGGTAAAAATTGTGATTGCATTTCTCGTTGTTCATAAAAAGAATGATTTTCTGTTCTTTATCAGCAATGATTACATTTGACATTTCCATAATAATGACTGCTTTTGTCATTGTTGATAATGAGGGATGTTTTCCCCATTGCGAAAAAACAAATTTATGTCATTGCCAGTAAAGATTATTGTTTTTAGCTAAAATGATCACTGCTCCTGGTAAAACAAATAATTTTCATCGATTTTGTCATTTCTAATAATGCTGAATTTATTCTGACACTGAAAATTATGAATGATTTTCTTCCTACAATTTGTTATAAATCTTTTATCATTGCTTTTAATGATTGTGTTCGTAATTGAAAGAAACTGTTTTTTTTTTTGTTTGTTTGTTTTTTTTTTTTTTTTGCCAGTGCTGTTAATGCTAAATACTGCATCTTATTTTAATTCCTACCAACCTACTTTACCTGGCTTAGTTATTTCCAGGAGTAATACTACTGGCCTTATAGCTCTTGGCGTCATTAAAGAAACCAGACCCCACAAGAACATCAACGCGTGAATCATTTTGGTATACATCGTATTTCTAAAAAATCGAAGGAGTTTCTATTTATTAATCCATCACATTTTATTAATTACGCGTTATTTTTGGTTGATACCCATATTTGAGTAGATGTATATTTATTAACAAGTATATATTTTCTACTGTCCTGAATATTCAAGAACTCTTATTAAAGATAAAATATACAGTCTGTGTCTGTAGAACTCGAACCTACATCCCCCTTGGCAGGAGAAACAGAGAGTCACGACCACGAAACGCGTCGATGATCAGTAATGGTTTTTTTCGTTAATAATGTCGATGATCAATAATAATTGTTTAATACGATTTATCGAATATTGATGTCCACGTCCTGAAGGAAAACTCAATGTAGAAAATGATTAACGATAATGATGATTAAATTCTTATTTGCAAAAAAATTTTTTTTTTTTCTTAGGTGATAACATTAATGTCATTTGAAATGATGCTAGTGATGATAGCCTTGATTCTTAAACAATGATATTTTTTTGAAAATTGTCAACCATGACGATTACATTTGCTATTGTAATAATTACGATGTTTTTCATTGACTATAATGAGAAGTTAGTGTCTTTAAGCATAATGGTATAATATTTTCAGTGTCTAACCGAATGAAGCCCGTTCTATTCTAATGAAAATAGTTTTGTTGTGCCGAAGCTCTGACTCCAACCCGATGCTCTGAATCTTTCTCTTTTATATTTTTTTTTGTTTTTTAGATCCTGAACGTTACTGTCCAAATTCGAAAACGACCTGCAAATCGAAATCCGTTCCTGTATTGATGACCTATATCTAATAATTTTTCTCGATAATAAATTCAGAATTGTTGATATTTATCCAATAAATCTCAATTTCAAAGAGATTTAAATCCCACAATTTAATACTTCAGTCACACCCATAGGAAAAGCTCAATCCTTTCTCTAATTACAAAAAAAAATATTCTAAGCAAATGTTGACAACAATCGTTATGAATGTTTGGCCTTATTTGATTGTAATTGCAAATGATTTATTTTCGCTCGTCAGGATTTAGAATATTTTCAAAGGAATTATCTTTTTAGTCTGTTAGACAGAATGCAGAATAATGAATTTAGTAGCATTGAATTATTGATTGTTCATTTGTAATTTCTAATTAAGTCTTTAATGCAAGTCTTTCTTTCTTTTTTTTTATTGATTTCTTTTACATTTTTTTATTCAATCAGTTTTTTGTTGTTTCTTTTTAAGCATGATGAAAATTTTCTTCAGCAATTTCTTTTTTCCTCCTTTTACTTTCAGGTGACTAACATTTTTCATTCATTATTTTTTCTTCTTTTTCAAGCAGGTTTCTTGTCTCTCTTTTTATTCTTTCATTGATCACATATTTTCCATACAATTTTTTTTCCTTTTTTTTTCCTCGTTTTGCTTTCATTTGTCCCACATTTCTCATTTCTATTTTGATCACTTCAATTTTCATTTCGTTTTCATACCATTTTTAATTAAATCATTTTTTTTAATCATTTCACCCCAAGCAAGGCAATCAGGTCACTAGAATGCAGGACGTTGCAGAGAATGAAAGAGAATGAGAAAACTTTACTGGGGATGATTGAGGAAAGAACGTGAAGACAGAAGATGACGATTGACGTTGAAATTAATTTTTTGTACATGGTTAAGAAAAGAACAAAAAATGGTACAGGCTTCAAAAAGACAGAAGATGGCAATTGAAGATGCATTTAAACCTTTCTAGAGGACTGAGGACTGGACAAAAAGGAACACGGTTCAAGAAGACAGAAGATGGCGATTGAAGATGCATTTAAACCTTTCTAGAGGACTGAGGACAGGACAAAAAGGAACACGGTTCAAGAAGACAGAAGATGGCGATTGCCATTGCATTTAAATTTCTGTACAGGGTTAAGAAAAGGACAAAAAATGGTACAGGCTTCAAAAAGACCGAAGATGGCAATTGAAGATGCATTTAAACTTTTGTAGAGGGTTGAGGAAAGGACAAAAATGGAACAGTGTTCAAGAAAACAGAAGATGGCGATTGACGTTGCATTTAAATTTTTGTAGAGGTTTGAGGAAAGGACAAAAATGGAACAGTGTTCAAGAAAATAGAAGATGGCGATTAACGTTGCATTTAAGATTTACCGTTTTCATGGAAACGAAAAATCTGGAGGGAGTTCCACATGTGATAAGTGTGAGAAAAGAAACTGTTAGAGAAGAAGTAGCAGTTGCGTGTATCTTTTTCAACGGTAAAATGATGAGACCTAGTCACCGCTCTAGTAGCACGCTTAAATTCATTTTGTCCGAGCACCAGTGAAAAAAGCTCATCAGTGCAGTTGTTCTGAAAACATTTGTAGACGACCCACATCGCGTTGGTGAGAAAGTGACTCAAGTCGAGATGCCTGATAAGGATCAATTACATTACAGACAATTGTTTGTTTGTTCCATTCCTTTCTTTCTCACTCTGTACACTTTTCTTTCTCTTTTTTTTCGTTTTTCCCAATTCATTCACATTTAAGTCCTTGCATAGTTACTCTTATTTTCCTGTATATGTCATTTTCTTTCGCCTTTTCCTCTTCCTCGACCTTTCTTTCAGTCTTCCATTTTCGTTTCAAAATATTTCTAAAGAAACCGAATCTTCATTTTCTACTTCATTCATAATTAATAACGACATCTACCTAAATTTATTCCTTTGAGTCTGGGTTATTTTCACTGAAAGTATTGAAATTTAAGGTTACGTCTACATTTATCGGAATCAAAAGATTTGATCAACTAAAGATTATGGGCATGAACTGTAATGGATTTTTAGGAAACGCGTCACTTTATGTCCGACACAAAAAACTGAACACAAAATGAATTGATGAAGAAGAAATTAGATTTGAAAGATATTGAAATAATCACATTATAACTAAAGGCTTGATGATGTGTTTAGACTTACTTGACATTTTTTTACCAAGGATATTTTGTTGTTTTGATCGACGTAAATCTTCAGCTTTTGTCAGTTGTACATTTTGTATTTATTTTTTATAATAAAGTTAAAATGTCAGTGTTAAGGGGCCCACCCCTTTTCATACAAGTGGACTCGCTTAGTGTGTACTTGTACTGCTGCCGGTGAATACCCGGGAGTGATAGAGTGAGAGAGTGAGAATGTGAGGTAACCTCTTTGTAGGAGTCACAGTTGCGAGCACGTAGACTCAGAAAGAAGTCATATTTCGATACTGAATTTCCCAGACTGTATAATTATTATTGCTACTAACCGCACTTCTAAATCTACTAACCGTATTACCAATTGTATTATTACGTCAATACATTTATTTGCTATATTTCATTCCTGTGTTTGTCATTCATTTTGAGACCGGATTTCATCCCGGAATCCACAACAGTCAGGTATGAAGATTCTTTAAAATATCAAAAATGAAGAATCGTTATAAAGGAAGAAAATATTTTTTTTTATTAACGTTCAACGATTACAAGGCTCGAGAGTCTATCGAATTAGAGAGTGACAATCTTACGGCGATAGGAAAGTGTCTGAAGTTGAGATGTCAGATCATGACCAATAATATTGCTGAATCTTCTTTGGACTTTATCAAGAATCTCTAAATATATAGAAAGAGTACCTCACTACATGTAGCAGCAATATTTGAGTATGGACGAATGGTAAACTTATAGATATGTAAGATAGATTTTGAAGAGAAAAAATGTCTAGCACGACAAATATAAATATATATGGGATAACA